TTAAAATTATGATCTAACTATGAAAGTATTTTTGTGAACAACATGAACAGTAAAGCCAATTTCTGATAGAGGAAAGTTTAATATAATATTATCTTCTTGGAAAGAAATTTTTCGTAGTAGTTTGTCAGTTACTCAGTCTATTTTGAAAGAAAAAGTACGTACCTCAATGAGGTACCCCATTTTGAAAGAAATTGTACCCCAACTGCACCCCATTCGTAATTCGAAAAATCCCATTTGAGAATTCAGATATGGCAGCCCTGACTGTGTTAAACATTATCATATATTTTATGATTTTGTAATTAGTTCGAACATTGCTTCTTTTGAAGAGTTGTGTCAAGTCGAATGTCATGGTGCGCAATTCCAACGGAATAATTTAGTTAAACGATAGCACACATACGTTGCCTAAAAATATCGTTCATCAGTTTTGAATTGGATCAAAGAAAAAAAACTAATCATATTTTTTAACATTTATGTCATGTTTATTCTTTTATACGGTTGAATATCACATGTCTTCGCTTTCAAAATAATAAATAGTCATTTATCATTTACTTAATTTATAGATATTTCTGACGGGTTTGTATAAGAATGTCAATAAATCATTCTTCCGAAGATTTTATTTGTTTCTTTTAGCAACCTATCAAATTATGACCTAGAATTTAATTACAAATGCAAATAGTCAAAAAAAATCCAAAATATATCATTTACAGTATTGAATCAATTTTATACTACTATATTCTAGTACTATATCATCGTCTGTCTTCCTTATTTTTTCTCTTTTGTTTTATAATTATACATGTTTATTGGGGAGCTCGGAAGCGCTTACTATGAACTTATGAGACAGAGACAGTTGACGAGAATCATTTAAGCAGAACTTACATTGCATTCAAACAAAAATACGTGATAAATCGCTTCAAGTTGGACATGAACCGTACCTTGTTTTTTTGGTATTTTACTTTTATGAATATGATGTATATGAAATTATGACCAAAATTGTGACCAATTAAATCGCTTTTTAAAGCGTAAACATATTTCGGGGCTTATCTTTCATTCATATCATGAACATATTACTTTACCTTACATATTTTTAATGCAAACCTTTTCAATCTCTCTTTAAAATCTCGTATAAATAAAACAGTATTCGACGTGTTTTTCGCTTGTGTATATTTAGAAAAGTAATTTACGATCTGTATTTGATATTTGAGCTGATTCATTAGTTTCGCCTAAATGATTTTGTGTCTTGCATTTTTATATCGTATACAGTATTCATCAACATAATTTGATGCATGCGAATCAATATATTTTAGTCAACATAAAATGACCTTCATTGATAACTGAATATAGCTACCTTTAAAACAAAATCAAGTTTTGTTTTTATATTTTCATTTACCAAAAATATTAATTATCACTTTTTTTCTTTACCTAAAATCACTCACACATTAGTTATTACTATTTAAGTTGACTTCTAAGAATCATACAAAATATTACTTCTCAACTCAATTCGAAATAACTTAACTTGAAATAAAGCAAGAAATTTATATTCATATCAAACAATATATTAGCACTTATTTGATTATTACATTCGAATAATTATCTCATTTATAAGTGCATTTAATATATTTAAAAGGTAACGATATAGCTTATCAATTTTATATAAACTATCAAAAATAACAAGAATTTTATCTCTTTACCATCAACCATATAGATTAGAATCGATGAAGCCTTCAAAACAATTTAATAGTTCACAGTATTCATCATTATCTACTCGTCAGACTGATTTTCAAAGTTTTATCATAAATAAAGATCCAAAAACAATTTCTAATTCTGAATTGAAAAAATTACTTGACCAACATCCAAAACAACTTAACAAAATGCGGCATAAAAGTTCACAACAACAAATATCCATTCTTATTGATTTTATGTCGACACTTTACCGTGTTCCGAAATCAACATTATTATCTGTTGCACACAATAAATTTTTTACTTTACTTCAATTTCCATTTACTGATTTGCTTCGTCGATGGTGTCGTTCTTCTGATCTAACGGATAACGAAATTTATATGTTTCGTACTATAGTTAAATTGATAAAAAGATTTCTCAAAGCTACGGATGCCAACGAATTGCTTCCGTCATGGTTGTTAGATACGACGTTTCTCAATACAGTTGCCGATTGTCTTACATATATAGCCACATCAAAAGAATTTCTCTATGATAAAAATAATCGTCTATTAAAATATTTCACACGTTTAATTGACTCATATGTTCGTTATCAAGAATTTTTCGACGATGAAAATCATTCTAATAAAGACGCACTAGTGCTCTTACTGGATCCTATTCTACAATGTCTCACTTCATCTCGTTATATTGATACTTTTACAAATATATCACAAGATAAAAAATCAATGACAACTAATGAAAAATTTTTTCTTCTCAAGTGTCCATCATTTGTCATCTCGTACAAGGGTAAGTATCGTTAAAATTTTTCTGAGGAAACGTACTTTTGATCACCAAATTTGTTTTTTCGAATAATGATTTTTTTTAATTAGGGTAAGCATTTTTTTTGATCATCAAATTTGTTATAAATGAAAATGAATGTGAGTGTGAGTGCTGACAAGGCTGTTCTCTTCACTCATGTTCTCACACACACTTTTGGTAGTCATTTTACAGTTAGAAAATTTTGATGATCAAAAGGCATTTTATTTCTTCTTGGATGCTTTTACACGATCCACACAACTCGTCATCCACATTTACAATTTGGTTTTTACTGATCAAACAGATTAGTGTATGGTTAAAGGAATTAGTGAATGAAGTGCGTGCATCTGTAGAAAAACTACATGTTCATTTGTAAATATGGTTCTTCTCTAGATCAACAACATCCTATTCATTAACTGATCTAACTGACAGAGCACAGCACAGTATCAGCGCTGCGATGTTTCTGATCTGAAGAAGTACCAAAAATATGGTTTCCTCAGTTCATATCGTAATATATATTGTTTACTTTGTACACTATACTTTGGTTCTTATTGAAGTTAACATTGCCATTAACTAATTGATCTGATCCACAGTGAGAAACATCACTGACGAGCCAAACTTCTCAATTGCCCCCCTCGAATTTCAATGAATTCTTTGCTCATAGATATTACAGTGTCCTAGAAAATACCCTAAAAGGATTTGAGTGCATAGCACTTCCTTCAACAGTTGTGCATAATTTTATTTTACCTCTATAAGACATAATATACATTGTATGAGAGAGGGTCTGCTACAGAATCTACCGAGCATGCTTATACTACACTTTTGATTATCGATTAAATTATCTCAAATAATAGACAATCATTAGAATACTTCGAATTCAAAATATTACCTCTTTTCGACATTCCTGTAAGAAAACTCGATTCGTAAAAAGTTATAGACTCCACAGCACTTGGTCACAGACATCGTTTTTATGGATTCTTTAGTATTTTGCACTTTTCTCTGCGTCTGCTCATTCGTTTGAGTTCAGTGATGTCTTAAAAGATGCAAAAATGTTTTTATGCAAAATCGGCTAATTCCTTATCTTGTACAGTACTATTCATTATGTGATAATCCTAATATAGGACCAAAAATGACTATTGTCCCAAATGAAGACTCTCTAGTATGTTGACTTTAGGCACTGTAGAGCATGTTATCCCATAAAATTTTTTTATATTTTGTGAAGGTCGTTAAGATTTAGCATCGTATAAGGCACCACTAAAGTACACCAAAACACCGATAAAAAAAATTGTCCATGTCACAAATGTTGATGTGTGATAGTCATCGGCATCAGAGATGGCCATCCCTCGTCAACATTTGTAGCATGGATTAACTTTTGTTACCAGAATTTTAAATATTTGAGCTCTAACTCAAATGATGTAGAACTTCAAAGGCTTTCACAAAACATAAAAATTGTCTTGGAATAGCTTGATCCAATGTGATTAGAGGCAAAATGCTAGAAAATTGGTATAAAAGCCAACTATACTTTCGCTCGCGTATAAGTATCATAGATTAGTAAAATATATTGTAGAAATCACATAATCAGCTAACTTTATAGAAAAAACATGCCCGCGTCTTTTGAGACGCCTCAGCGCTTCAATGAATGAGCAGACGCAGATAAACGTACAAAATACTAAGGGTCTATGAAAAATCGATTTTTTTGATCAAGTGCCGCGGAGTGTATAACTTGTATACATCGAGTTTTCTTACAAGAACGTCAGAAAGTGGTACTATTTTGAATCCGAAGTATTCTAATAATGGTCTATTGTTTCAGATAATTACATTGAAGATCAAAATTTTTATCGGTAACCGGTTTGGTAGGTTCTGTCAATATCCTCCCCCATATAATATGTACTATGTCTTATAGAGGCAAAATAAAAATATGCATAACTTCTGAAGGAAGCGCTATGCACTCAAATCTTTTTAGGGTATTTATTAGCGGACTATGTGGTATTTATGGGCAAATATTCATTGAAACCCAAGAGGAGGCAGGGCATTTGGGAAGGCTCCCTCGTGACTATGAGGGTGAGTGTATCAAAGAATGTTAAAGTGAGATTATCGTCGACTTGGAGCAGCACCTACAGTTTATTGAAAAATAGGAATATAAAATAAATTCTGAAAATAGTTGGTGATCAAAACTACTGTCACCCATTTTTCTCTATACATAAAACGAATAAATTTTGTGTTTCTTTCTATTCATAGGATTACGTCTCGAACAAACTATGAACAATTTACTTTCAACTATGCTACCACAATATGTAACATTATTAGATAAGATAGTTCCTGCAGTACAAAATTGGAAACGAGCAATGACTCGATCTGTACAATATTTATTAAAAACTATCAATCATGGAGCAGATCAATTTCAAATAAATGCCAAACTTGTTAGTAAACATTTATCATTAATTGATCATGTGTTAAAATTAGTCAATGAACCAATATTTTATAATAATCTAGAAGAAACATTATCGAATTCAGAAACAAATTTTATGAATACAGCTATTAGTTTTCTTGTCAATATGATTAGTGAACCAGCCATACTAGCTCAAGTAAAAGAATCACAAGTAACACCTGTATTTCTTCGTTTAACATCATGTCAATATAAACCATTAGTACTCAATGTTTATACTCTTCTTGCATACACAACATATGAAGAAGATATTAAAGCTATGCATGATGTCGGTCGATTACTTGCTACAATTATTGAATCACTAAAAATAGTACTCAATCGAAAGCCTGAAAAGAGAACTCAAGTAGAACAATTACTTGAAACTTTGAAAGGTAAGAAACTTTTTTATGATATTTCTTTTCATTCAAATTATTTCGCAAGAAAAATTGTTTAAGATAAAATTTGATTTTTTTGTGAAAAATTATCCATTAAATGTTTTCCTTTATCAGAAGAATACAATAAATTGGTTCAAAATTTTTGTTGAAAAATAAATTCAAAAATGTTGTTTTTTTTGTCAGGTCTTGTTCAACATGATCAAATAAAAGATGAAATTATAAAACAAAATGCACTTCCATTTCTTCTTCAATGTACGAATCAATTAACAAGAAGAGCATTGGTACTAATATTTGAAATTTTATGGTGTTTAACATTCTTCGAAGAAATTGCTCGTGTTTTACGTGCTGATTTAAATTTTCTTGACAAGATTCAAACTATATCTAAGGACAACAAAAATGAACCATTGAAAAAGGCAGTTGATGGACTTGTTTGGAAACTTATACAAGGTATCTCATATTTATTTTTAATATTGATATTAGTGGAAATATATTTATATGTATGAATGTTGTAGAACCAGTATTCTTGGAAAAGATTGCAAAACAGGAAGAAGAACAGAAAGAAGATGCAGATGTAATAAATACAACAACAAAAGTACTCTTAATATCAGATAAAAGCGTACAGGTTGCAATAACAAAACAGCGCAATGTAACGCCAATCGAACGTTCATATCAATATGATATCATGATTTCATATTGTCATGTTGATAAAGAACTAACTTATAAAATTCATCAATATCTTGTTAATCAAAATTTCAAAGTATGGATTGATCTAAATAATATGTATGGACCAGGTAAAACACTGATAAATAAACTGAATAAATTAGTTTCGAATTCTTTTTTTTGTGTTCAGCTATGAGTGCTATGGCTGATGCTGTTGAAAATTCAGAATTTGTCATTATGTGCATGTCAGATTCATATAAACGAAGTACATATTGTCAAGCTGAAGCAGAATATGCATTTAAATGTAAGCGACGTCTTCTTCCATTAGTAATGAGACCAGGATACAAACCAGATGGTTGGTTAGGATTTATGATTGGATCAAGAGTATATGTAGATTTTGGTCGATATGATTTTGATACAGCATGTGAAAAATTAATGATAGAAATTAATTTACAAAAACAACAGGTTATACCAACTATAGTGATCAATCCATCAGATCATGAAAAACTTGCAGAAATAATTTCCACTGGAACTGAACATTTTCAAAAAAACAAGAAACAATCACCTGAAATTCTTCCGAAAAATTCACCTAAAAATAAAGATATAGTATCATCAGTATTAAAAACTCGACAATCAACGCTTAATTTTATTCGAAAACCAATTAATACATGGACCGAATCGGATGTATTAGATTTTCTTTCAGCTCATCGTTTAAATTCGATAATACCACTGTGTGAAGCAATGAATGGTCGAGCATTAATGGAATTATACAAACTATGTACAACTCATAGACTTCGAGCATATTCTGTACTCAAAGATGAACTAATGTCTATACATAAAATTAGACTACCCATCAGTATTTATTCTCGATTTTTAAGTGTTCTCGAAGATGTAACCAAGTTCCACTCAATACTATCACCACCAATGAATAATCCTGCAACGATTATTTCTCCTATTCCATTTGTGCCCGCTTCTAGTCCGAATATGCCTTATGATTTTTTAATAACAACAAATGCATCTCCTTTAGATACATTGAACATGGTCAGCTGTTTTGGTTCTCAATTACTCTTACTCGATACTCTACGTAAACAAATTACAAATGCATATTAATAGAAAGTATTTGTAAGAAAAAAATCTGCGTAAACGTTGAATCTAAATTTTTTCTTTGCAATTAAAAGAGTTTGATACATCATAAAGCAAAAAGAAAAGAAAAGAAGGTTACATAAAAAGAGAAGAAAAGATTTTGTCGTACAACATACAATCAAAATGGTGAATAACAAGCAAGGATTGTTCTATAATAAATGAATTATTCAAATAACGAATTAGCAAAAATGAAGAAAAGAAAAGAAAAGAAAAATATCATAATGACTAACATTTTACAGTCCATTTGCGTAGACAACAATCATTACCACCGGTTAGTAATGTATCATTATCTAGCCAAGCTAAACATGTAACCGGATTAAGTGGATGAGCACCTGAAAAAGAAAAAATTATATATGAATATTAAATAAACTCTATTTATTTTTACCTTTAACTTGTGTCACTTTTGTAATATTTTCAGTTTGATAAATCATTAAATGTGTATCAATAGCAACTGATGCTAATTTTTTTCCATCAGGACTAAATGCAAGACCAGTTATTGTTGCTGCATGATAACGCCACATATCACGACTCATCGACTCAAAATTTGGTAATTGATAACATGTTATATTTTTCATATTATCAGCACTAGCAAAAAATCGTCCATCAGGTGAATAAGCAACACGAACAACAACATCACGTTGTTCTAATTCACGAAGAGCATTTAATGCTGTACCATCGACAGTAAATATATGAGTTTTATTATCCTAAATAAATAAATAAATAATAAATATTTGAATTATTATTTATGATTAATTACTTTTCCACCAACAGCGATTTGTGTACCTTGTGGCGAAACGGCAATTGATGTTGGTTCAAATGGTAATGGATGTGTTATAAGAACACCTTGTTGTTCTCGATACATACATATGGCTGAACCACATACAATAAAAATAATATTTGAATCACTAATAGCTATATCACGTGGTTGACCAGATAATTTTTCCATTCGACTAAAATTAATTTGTAAATATAGTAGCTACAAAATTTGCTCATAAAGATTAAATTTTGATTTTTTTTCATAATGGTAACTAGTTTTAAAAACTCAAAGAGGGATTTGAATAGAGAAATTCATTTCCAACAAAGAATTGAAGAAAAATGAAATCCTTACTTTATTTTCAAAATTTAGAGTTGTCTAGAAAAGTTCACATCTAGTTTTTCAGCACCTCAAATTTAAAAATAAAAGTTTCTTGTGATCACACAGAGTGATAGAACAACTCATTCTCTGAAAAACGAGATATTTACAAGTTTTCCACATCTTTTTAACCCAACCAGATCAATTATAAGAAAAGTACAACAGTAGATTTTTCGCAATTTCCTATGGGAAAAAGGAATTTTATGATTTTCTTAAAATTGATGTAGTTCACTCAAAAACTGTTGTAGAGAGTTCGTAGACTTCTTATTTTCTAGAGAATTAGTTGCTCTAGCATCGTGTGTAAACGAAAGTATCTTTTATTTTGTGGTTCTGAGTAGAGTCCATCGAGTTCAAATCCAAAAATGTTGGACCAGACGGGTTCTAGCCATCTGAGAAATATGTACGACTTGCTTGTCACGAAATACAAAAAAAACAGAAAGAAGTATCTCGTATTTTCTGGGCGACTATCCAGTTCTCATTCAAAAACTTCATTGAGAGTATCAAAGTCTAGTTCTGAGTGCTGAAAAGTTAGGTATAAGATTCTCTAGAGAATCTTACTTTTGGGAACACACTGAGAATTTTATTTCCCTCAAGCCAAACAAATTTCTCTATCCAAATCACTGTATAGACTCTATATCAGTTACCATTAGGGAATAAATCGAAATTAAATCTGTATGATCAATTGATCAATTTTAGAGTCAATGTAATTTTAATATAAGACAAAAAAAGACTAGAATTTATTTACTCATATGATTCCCATGATGAATTTAATAAACGAAGTGTATCATCAAGACCAATTGAAGCTACTAAACCACGAGAATTACTTGCTAATGATTGTACTTGATTTGTATGACAATCACCAATAATATTATTCATTTCTCTTCCATCGATAGTCCAACGAACGACAAGTCCATCATGGCTAGCACTAAAAATTTTTGTACCTTGACTTTCATTATGAGCTGTACTTAAAGCAGTTATACTTTTATTATGACCCTAGAGAATATTATTTTCTAGCAAAATAAATAATTGATGAATGAATTTTTACTCGAATAGTACGAGATGGTTTATGTCCATCTCGATCAAGATATGTTATTTGACCCGAAAGTGAAACTGAAAGAATATTATTTCCAGACCATAGACAACCAACTTGTTGATCTTTTAAATCTGTACCAAATGCATACGTTCTAAAATGAATAGAAAAATTAATATACAAGGAAAAAACTATTAACATTTTTATTAATGTATCAACTAACTGAACAGCTGAACCAGTTGTAATATCCCAAATTTTTGCTGTTTTATCACCTGATGCAGTTAAAATAAAACGACTTGTTGAATCCCAACATAAACCATAAATTGAACCATTATGAGCCGTAGGTGAACCTAATTCTGATAAACGTTCACCTGTTTTTCCATCATATAAAATTACCTAATACAAAAACAAATTTAATTTTGAGTAAGAAAAGAAGACATTTCATATATAAACACATACACGTCCATCGGCAGCACCTGATGCGAATTTTTCTCCATCAGGCGAATAACGAACAACATGAACAAATTTTTCATGGTTAGACATTGTTGTTTTCCATTTAAATGGTGGTCCTTCAAAAAATGATACAGCATTATCTTCACTACCAGTTATAGCACGAAATGGACGAGTTGGTTTAAAATCAACTGAATTTATTGCTTTTGTCATTCCAGATATTTCACCAACAGAATTACCAGCATCAGCAGAAAATACATGACCAAATCTTGAAATATTTTTAAATATAAAAAAAATTTTTTTTTTTCGTTTATTTAAAATTTTTACTTTTCTTTTCCTTCACCACCAACTATAATACGTTGATTATCACTTGTCCAAGCTAAATCTTTTATACAGCCAGAAAATGGTTGAAACTCATTTTTTAATATATGTTCTTTATTATCAGCACCCCATATACGAACTTTACCATGACCATCTAGAAGAAAACTTAATTAAACTAATTATTTAATTAATATGATTATACCAGCTGAAGCAATATACGATCCACTAGGTGAATATTTAGCACATTGAACAGCTGTTGAATGTTCTGTATAGACTTCGCATTGTGATGGATCCTATTTTGAATAATTTTCTATGAAAGAATTTGTCAACTCGGTGACATAAGGAGCCAAAGTGTGGAACTCACGAGATTTTGACTGTCATAAATTTATGACATATTATCAATAGAGAATTGCTGTTTATAATAAGGAAATTTATTTTTAATGAGAACCTAATTTTTTATTATTATCCAATAGCTCACAAAAAATTATGATATCATAGATACAAATAAAATATACAGATGCACAACCGGCGGTAGCATTTACGATTTTTTGGTTTCAGCTTTAAACGATTACAGATAATGTTGTCTACCCAAATTCAAATTATTGTTTTTAGAAAGAATGCAAATGAATCGAGACGAAAGCGTTTCAGAATATACTTTACTAGTAAACATTTTGTAGTGGCATGTATAATAATAATAATAATTTATCTTATAACTAAAGCTGGTCTGGTCAATGTGATTATCACAGGCAACTCAAACGCATCAACATTAGTAGAGGGTGTCAACAAACAACTCGATTCTGTCAGTTTTACAAGTCTTCAACAATATTCATGCGTTTTTATTCAATACTTTCAAAAAAATCAAAGATACAGTGGACTCTGTACCCATCGATATAACAGTGGTAGTTATCATATGAAACAGAAAGAAATCTTTCTTTATTCTTTATTTTATCTTTATTTTATAAATATAAAGATTGTACTCATTTATCTTATAAAGTAAACACAAAGTAGCACCTGTCATGGTTAGAGGGTTTAAAATAATTTCTTTAAGAAAATGCTGAGCAAACCAGTAAATCATAATGATAATAACTTTTATAGTTGATATTAGCGCTCTGAAATTTTAATGTTTCCAAAATATTTGTATTTAGAAATACTATTCTACTAATTTGTTACATTCATTTAACATCGGTATACTAAAAAGAAAAAACTTATTTTTCTATGGTCAGATACATTTCCAATGCATGACTTTTTTCCTTATATTGATAGTATATACGATAAATGCTATAGGAAGAAGCAAATATCATTTTATACTTCGTTTTCTACCAACCATATCAGTCTATTGCACACATTGATATAATCGTTCAGCAAGTTTTCGAGTCCATCATTCTTTCTCTTGACAAACATTAACATATATTGTTGAGTTTTACTCAAACTTAGAATTAACTTAGTTCATACTTTTTATGTCCATTCTATTCTGATTCTGATAGATCAATAATACCACACTCTATTGATTGACATTTACAATAAGATTCTTTCGCTGCATTACATACTTAAAACCTACTATATTTAGATCAGTTAGAATCTACAGTAGAAATGTTAGATTCATAGAATGCTTTGAAAGACTTTAGTAAGTCCATAATGATCTAAGCACTGTTAATATTGACGCGTGTTCTCCTGTCACTAGGGAACCATAGGCAACGACCATTAACCTTGTCCCCTGGTTACTAGGGAAACTTATCGTATCATCTTTGACTCTCCTCCTCCCACTTTCGGTTGCTAAGAATTGAGAGAAAAGCACGTAAATCTCAATTTAAACTACTACTTTCTTTGAAAATGTATGTGAGTTCCACAAAATAAACAAACAAGAAAAAAAGGAATTTTGAACGAACTTCGATATTACGAATGAAAACACTATTGCCATTTGTATATAAAAACGTTTTTCCTTTTGGATCAGCACCTAATACAATTGGTTGACCACGAGTTGTACGTGGTAATGAAGCAAAGACTGATGCTAGAATAAAATAGAATGTAATTCATATTGTTCTCAAAGAAAAAAACAAAAACAATAGACGAAGTGTGTTTTTGTAGCTTCTCGAAACAATAATAAAAGAAGACTTACTTAATGTGCAGCTCATTGCTTGGCTATACGAAAGAAAAATTTATCTAAAAATATTTTCTTTTTATATATTAAATTTTTCATAAAGGTTCATCAAGATTTGAAATCCCATTTTATAGATTAAAAATGAAAGATTAACTAAAAACAAACAAAAAAACATTTTTCAATAATTAATTTTTATATTTATAAAAATGTTTAAATCCATCTAATGTCTTCAATTAATCTTTCATTTTAATTAAGGATATTACCAATTTACCGAAATAAACAAAAAAAAAAAAACTTTGTAAAACAAAACATCCATACTTCTCTCAATGTGTTTATGTCACGAAAAACAAAAATTATATAAAATAAATAAATCATTAAAACACACGCACACACACGCAATTTTCATCACCAACCAACCCATGAAAAAAATATTTATATGCATGTATACATATGTATATATTTGTTAGTGTCTAAATTGAAATTACATTGAATTTCGGATTCGAAATTCAATGTAATTTATATTTGAACACTAACATATATATGTTTGATCTTTTCTTATTAGTATTTAAAACCAAGAAAAGAGTGGATAACGATCATTAAATTTTTGTTTAAATTGTTTAGGTCCTGATGCAGTACCATGAGCACCACCAGTAAGTCGTTCAACAATAACACCAGGCATTTGAACTAATTGAAATGGTGATTTACCGTCACGCATAGCTTGGGCTAAATTTAAAATCTAAAATTATGGAAAGAAAAAAAAAATTTTTTAATTTTTATTTTAAAAAAATTTTTTATGCAAATATATAATTTACTTGTCCGCGCATCACAGATAATTGTCGTTCAACTAAACGACGATCGTAATTTTTATCTTGAGAAAATAAACGTTGAATTTCATCACACAATTCATGTTGAACAAAGTTCATATCAGATAATAATGGTAATACAAGAGATTTAATTTCATCAGAAAATGGAGTTTTAGCTTGTGGTAACCAAGCCCAATGGAATGGATATGTACGCCATTCATCTGGATGTTTAAAAGGAAAAGCAAGGCCATTATCAATAGCTGCTATACGAATGTCAACTGTTGTTTGTGCACTTGTTGTTTCATCTGTAGTAATCGTTGTTGGAACATTATTTATATGATCGCCTTCACCATCACTTTCATTCTAGATGAAAAACAAAATAAATTATCTGCTATTGTATTTTGTTAATATATATTGTAATAAGTTATGATTGATTAATTATTTATATATATATATATAATATATACATATAAGTTTTGTATACTCTATTACCTGTTGTTCTGGTTGTAATTGCGGATTGGAAAGTGCTTGAAGAAGCTGAAGCAATACAGAAAAAGAAAATACAAGAACAGGAATATAAGAAAAACAGATATATCTGTCTATTTTCATTTCTCAAGCATGTGTACAACTGATGACAGCTGTCTTCCCACCTACCATATCACGTTCGTTGTCTTTTCTGACTTCGTGTTTAGCCAACCAATTGCCATTATTGCGGTCTACATATTAATACAAATAAATAAACAACAAATACGATATAGAAAAAAAAAATTTTTTTTCTCAATTAGAATTTTATTCACTACGAAACTGTTCAAATTCAATCGAGAAAAGAAATAAAATAATCTCTTATTCTTCATTTTATAACGTTGTTCTTTAAACAATAATTATATTTGCATAGGATTACAAATCAATAGTCAACATTGTCGAATAATGAAACAAAGATTCATTAACCTAATTTAGTATCTGAACAAAAATTTTTTTTTTACTTACCAGTATTACGAATAATATAATCTAATACAACAAGTCTTTCAAATTGTCGTTGAAATTGAACAGACACATTTTGTAATAATGGATCATGTTCTAATTGCTTAAGAAAAACATCCGCATCAACATAATTTTCAACAAATAATTGAAATGATCCAATCTATTTTTTTTTTTACAAAACGAATAAATATTAAATTAATGAAAAGCAATTTTTTCGTATATACTTTAGGCTGTAATCCTTTTGGTTGAAAGACTCGTCTGCCATGCATATGTCGACCAACACTTTCATTTATTTCACGTTTAGCTGTTATCAAATGACGTAGATATGCTGGATAATTAAACGAATCAGCAGCTAAACGAACAACTCGTGTTTTCGGTACGATATTAAGGCGAAGTTTTGTATCAATAATACTAGCACCAGCTTCAGAAAGATAGCCTTGATTAGGTACAAGACAGCCACGACCAAAACAACATGGACAAAGAGTTTTATGCAACCTAAAAGAAAACATTTATTTAATTAAAGCAAAAAAAAATTTCATGCTAAACAAACAAACCATTTAGTCCATTTTGGATTAAATCGACCATAAGGTTCTTCATCTTTTGGTTTAAATACTCCAATTGTTTTCTATTTAAAAAATAAAAGTTTTTTTTTTTTTGCTTCACACTATGAAACCCAAAAAAACAAACAACGATGACATACTCCTTCAAGATTACGAACAAAATATGAACCAGATGAACCGGCTGCTATTCGTACTGGTAATATTCCACCTTCAATAGCTCTTTCAGCTTGTCTAATAACATCAGCATATTCTGCATCATCTGTTATATTTGTATTCCATGGTGGTAAATGAGGATTATCTGTCAATTCCATATTTGGAGTTGTTGGTGTTGACGGAAGTAAAAGGGGTTGATTTTCACTAGTTACAATACAAACGTCTGGTAATGTATAACTGTTCACATTAATTACTGGATGTTCACCAGTGTTAGAATTCATCCTATTCAATATGAAAAATGAGTATCAATATTTATCAAAGAAATAGAAAAAGTTTTAAATAAAAGAAAAAAACTTTTTTTTTGTAGCAGCATAGCAAGAAAACTACCTGGTTAGTAACATGTGATTTTTAAATAATTCCTATATACGAAAATCAGGTTTTATTAGTATAATTCTTTTTTTTTTATATGATGACATAGCATTTTAGAAAAACAAAGAGGTAAAAGGAAACATGCACTCACTCTCTTACTGCTTCTATTGTCCATGACTTGGATTATCAGGAATGGTATTTAATCTCGGACTAACTCGGTTTCTATTGCTCCTAACTTTTCTCAATTGGTCGACTGCTTGTAGAAAAAATATGATTGAAAAGTGAATAGATGATGAGCTGATGTGGATGTGGAAACATGTGAATCATTTTAATCTGTTTTTCATTAATGTTCCAATTGAAATTATCTAAAGAAAGTTTTTGAAATCTAATAATATAAATAAAATTATTCTACAAGTATTGAATTGAGGTTTTATATAAAGAAAAAAATCATCATTTTTACAACTTTAGATAAAAATATTTGATAGATGTCGCTGCCAATCTGAATAGAATCATGGAGACAAAATGATATTTCCTTAAAAGGCAATAAATGATCATTTGTAATATTCGATAGATTGTAAAGCGACGATGTTTATTGCGAAATATGATCACTGTTTATCAATAGTATCAGCAGTGACTTAACCGAGGGTGTCTGCAGCCGAACGCTCTCCAGCCTTGCACAATCGTAGAAAACTTTTCTTTTTTTCCACTACAGCTGAAATTCTCTTTTTGCATTCTGTTATATGAAAAATATTTTTATTCTGCAAAATATTGCTACATTCGCCAATATTGATTGCTTCGAACCACCACTGGTTCGTACTGATTCACTCAAGACATATTCTTCATTTTCAGTATGGAATAACAATCTAAGTCATTAGTCAATTAAGTATATTCTAAAGTAAATAAGCATGGCTTTTTTTTTTGTTTTCTTTTTATCGCAGAATTTACTAGTTTACTCTTCCTATATAAATAAATAATTGATGAATCTAATTCCATTAGTTTTATTTGTATGTTGCATATATGAGTAATATACCTGTTGAGCTATTAATAAGAAAAATTTGTAAAAGAAAAAGAAGTTCAATAAAATAAAATAGTTGTTTTCTATTTCTTTTTTCTTCTGTGAAAGAAATAGTTGTTTTTTTTTTGGAATATTTATAAACTAGTAAGAATATTTGATGTTCAACATACTTAATAAAACTATGAATTCTTTTAAAATGCAGACATAGAGTTTTCAAGAATTTCTTTTACATCAAGTGATGCATTTCATTTTCTGAATATGTATGATGATCAAAACAAAAACAAAGATAATCATCTAGGAAAAAAACAACTCTAGGTATTTTTCAATGTTTTTCAACTATCTATATATAACCTGCAAATATTTACTATGTTGGAACAATTTTATATGAATACAAAGATTCAAGTTAAAACATTGTTCATACTTGTGTCTAAATGACCTTTCAGAATAGAGCTCATTTTATTTTGCATCCGTCACAATACAGGAAATTACCTTGAACCTATGAATACTAGCAAATGATTTGGTTATGACATTCATTTAATTTTACATTTTTAATCTTAAGAACTTCCGTCCGCTTGTTTCTTTTACTTTCTTTCTTAATTTCTTTTTCCGGAGATTCATTCGTGTCGAAAAGAATCAAAAGAAAAAAGAAAGAAAATGTAGACAGGTCATATTATTATAAACACTTGAGAAAGATATGTAAGCCTTGTGATTGTAAAAGTATCAGATTACTTTGAGCTCCTTGATAATGCAACTTATATTAAACATGCAATCAGAACCAATAAAAACATATCTGTGCATGTTTATTTATTAAATATATTGACCAATGATCATATGCTACAGTAATTTATTCAGACTTATATGTTGTTCTATATTTGAGTCATTCTGGAAAGATATTTCTACAAAGATCACGTAAGTTGTTTATAATGAATCATTACTCTTATCGTTCAAGGATATCCTATAGTAACTGAGAATAAATTTTGTCAAGGAAAATTTTCATATTTTTTCTTGATATCGAAGGCTGAAATTTGTATTACAGATATAGATCTTACCAAGATCTTTTATTTTTAGTTTGAAATTCAAGTGAAGTATAAAGAGACTCATTCTAAAATTGATTTCAAGTAGAACTTGATAAGCACTATCGATTTCAAAGTGGCTCATGGAATCGAGAGTACTCATCAAATTCTACTTGAAATCGGCTTTAGAACGAATCCATTCATGATTTACTCGAATTAGCAGCTAAGAATATATCCAATGTAATTAAGGATTGTTTAAGTATTTAGGAATGCATTTATGTTTAGAATCTTTCAGATTTAATGACAGGTTATATTTTATTATGTTCCTCAATTACGAAAAGAGAATGTTGGTTTTTTATTTTTTCCATTGAATTTAAAATGTCTCAATACAACATAAAGTATTGATTGCATACTTTGTAATTCATTTATTTGATGAACGTATAGAATCAGCTGATAGGTGAAATGAAATTTGTTGATACGTATGGAAGTATGAAAATGTATCAGGCTTTTTGAAAGAAAATGGTGTCGAGAAAATGTTTTGTAAATCATTATAAAAAAAAAAAAAAATATTGTAGAAGATTTCCCTAAAGAAAGCTGTGCAAAAACTATGGATGAATTATCTTATCAATTACAATTAACCATTAAGATCTGTAGAGAATATGTTCATATATATTGAATTTTATTATTATTTTCATAATTTTTTTCGAAAAATATTGTTTTGTAAAGTTTCTTTGGACAACACTCGAATAACAAAAATTCAGGTATTTTTATCGTACGCCTGTATTTCAACGATCGGTTTAATTAAAGACGTCATAATATGGACCATTAAAAATTTAGTTATATATATACATGCTGGATGGAGCATAAATAGCACTATAATAAAAAAAATGAAATATCTCTGCCTCGATTCAATCAAATAGGCTGATTCTTTGTTCAAGTGTAGAAGTTTATTCAAATGTTTTTTTATACGGATAAGGTAAACCAGTACTCTTATTAATTATTATTATTAGTATCATGAAAGAAATTTAACATGTTATCAATTAAGAAAAATATGTATTTCACGTTTAATGGATAATTTTTAGTTGTCATCTAAGATAATAAAAAGACGAAATGACAGCGAACTTTATGACTGATACTATACTTCTACACATAGAGTAAATTGTCAAAACTAATTAATTAGTTTAAAAGTTAACGATTACAAAATTTCGAATTTTCAAGCATGAAAACACTAGTCTTTGCAAGAAAATTAATGTTTTAGGGTCTAAAGAGCTATATTTGCGTGTTTTATTTATTTCAGTATTTGAACTGACTAGTTTTGAAAGTTTACCCTGTGTACATCAATATAGTTCATTTTTATTTCTTCGTATTATTCGCTCCGATAACAACTGGAAATTATCTATGAAATGCTTCATTCATATTTTTCTTACTTGACAATAGATAAAATAGCTTTAGTGAGGCGACAAATATCACTTGACAGTAGAATTTGTTTGTATTGTTCGCATGAACAAAATATTCGAATAAACTTCCAATGTTAAGCAAAAACTCAGGTCATTCAAATGAACTGCAGTGGAAAGATTTCAATTTTTTATCTTAATGCTATTTATGGTTGATCCTGTTTATGTAATAAAATATTTCAGTACTCTATATCATGAAAAGCTGGAAAAAAAATATAACTGACAATTTATTCGCAATAATTCTTAGGTACTCCTTAATTATTCTTCGTGCCATATCTTCGTTCGATGCTATTCTTGCGTAGTAGTATCCAAATACAAGTGATATATTATTTACAATATTAAATATAAGAATCCTCTTTTATGATTTGATTGACTGATTAGTATTGTAAAGAAACACTATATATTACTAAAATGAAAAATCTATCCAGAGGATACTTCTATCATATTAATCTAATGAAATAACATATTAAAACTAATAATTTATAACTATTGCGTCGCAGATGTACACCGAGCTCTTTTTTAAGTATAATGTATGAAAAGTTTTTTAATGTAAGGTCATGTTAGGCTCAGAATTAATAATGACTCGGAAACTTTTATTAGGCGCTTAATGTGCCTACAGAGACAAAAAATATGTTATTATAAAGATGTCATTATAATATAAAAAGACATGAAACGGATGCATCTAATTAATTCTGTCAGCATTCATATCCACATGAAAACTAGAGAATAAAAGTAATACTTTGTTCGAAGTGTTAGTCTCTTTTAATTTGACTTTTTTTTGTATGTGTATCTCATTAATAAGTAAAGATTAAAACACTATAAATGAGTTATGAAATTCGTATTTATTTTTTTTATCTCTTTCGAGAAACATATTTTTAATTTTTATTCTATGCAGTTGATTTTTCTTTATTTTAATTTTAAATAATTAATGTTAAATAGTTTTCTCTTCTCTAAAACATTGTTAAAACATTCAAATTAATCATATTTTAATCGTTGAGATTATTTTTATTTCTATCTTAAATAACAGAATAAGAACATATTAAATAATCATGTTTTTTTAAGTTCTTATCTAAACCATTATCGATATCATAAAGCATTTTGCTTAGTACTCGACCACATAAGTTAAATGGTTTAACCGGATTCAATCGCTATAAAATACAGCCATAAAAAGAACACAGAAACAGGTGATTAGGTTATTTTATTTTTACTCTTTAACATTTATATTGCAATATTTGAAATCATAAAATGAATGTTGTCATAGTAAATATTGAGGTCTTATTGTTTGTTCAATTTTATTGTTAACAACTAATAAAATTATATAGATTTTTCAACACATTATCAAAAATATAAATATTACTTACACATTATCATTTATTTTCCCAAATTATCTATCTGATCATGTTTTAATAATAACACCAGCAACAATTTTT